ATGAAGAAGGTCTTTCGACATTTCCCGAGAGGAGTCGATTTGGATAATTTCGACGCCCTATTATGAACAAGTATCTTAGGAAAGTCGAAGAAAGAAGGAAATGTGAGGAAATGTAATCGAAATCAAAACAAAAGTACCTTGGGAAATGACTTCATTGCATCTTGAAGAAGTTTCTCACCAGAGGGCTTCTGAGGTTTCTTGGAAAGAGGAATTGCTAACTTTCCCTTGCCTTTATCCTGTTTCTTCGTGGTCGAGACCTAAAATTGGAAGACACATTCTTTTTAAGACTCGAAATAAAGGGTAACGAAAAATATAAAGGAAAAATAATGTACTTACAATCTTGGTGCTGCCCGAGTCAACCTTTTGTACCTTTTGTTTTTTCGAGGTTTCAATACTCTGCAATGTAAGAACCAGAAAAGGTAGTGAAATAAACGCTACAAGTCAGATTAAAGGGCAAAGTCGAAAAGAATTGTACCTTAGAACGTAAAGAAACCTTGTCAGCAGTAGTCTTTCTTTTTCGACCTTGTAATGATGATCCCTTTGCATCATCATTATCATCACTCTACCAATCGGGATTTTTCTCATCGTGCTGTGGAACACGCTGAGAAATGGCAGCTGTATAACACAACATAGCAAAGAGATGAGATAAGTACAATGAAAAATTCGAGAGATTTCCTTGAGTATAGACTTTTCCCAGGGGGGGGATTAGTGTTATCGCCCCAACATAGTGGCCACCATCTTTTTCGAGGAAAATTGTACAGGGAACATTTCGCATAAGTAACTCGATTCTTTACAGGAACCGCGTTATGCTCGAGGTAAAATGGGTTGAGTGTTTTTACCCAAGGGGGATAAGACAAATATTTAGCTAAACCAAAAAGAGCATTTGGAAGAGGAGGTATATTTTTAGGGCAAAATTTTTCGAAATTAGTTTTCCCTCGAGGATTGATTACCTTTTTTGAGCGGATGTTCCTCTGTACCATTTTCGATAGAGAGACAGATGCATCGAAGATGGTTCGACTAATGTTGTCGGGTCGATAACATACTTTAAAGAATTGCTCGAATTGATAAATAATATTTCGGTTCTTGAAAGTACCTGATTGTTTGGGTCCCTGCGAAGAAAGTGGAGAATTAATCAGCTTCTTCAAAAACGCATTGAATTCGATTATTTTGTCAACATAATACTCACACCACCATCGGAGAAAGCACCTAGAAACTAAGAAAGAAGGAGAAAAAGAGAAGGGTACGAGGTGGAGTTGTTTATCAGGACGCAAGATGAATTCTAACACTTCTTCATAATTCCCTCTTTCGACACAAATGTCAGCATCTATACTCTCTTTGCGTCGAAGAGGGAGAGGTTTCATTTGACAAAGACCAAATTGTCGAGCAAAAAGTTGAGGTTGGTAGGGGTAAATTCTGACATCCTTTTGTCGCATGCCTGACATAATCACATCCCAGGATAAAAACCCAAACCACATCTCGACAAAATCCGGTGTCATATTCCAGACTTGATTGTTTCGACGAAGCCAAGGAGGACCTATCAAAGAGGTGCGTATGAACGGAGCCAAGTCTTCGCTAAACTGATTGAAGCTGAGGATTGCATCAATATATTTCGAGAAGTTGTCGACTAAACGCTTTCGAGGAGTAAGTGTGGTCAGGCGGGCTTCTTCGAGTTCACATGTTGGCGTGAAGGTTGAAGTTAGTGAAAGTTTTCTCTCCAAAATTGCATTCAACCACAGTTGTAGTAGCCATAAGGGTCCAGATAGATTTTGAGGACCAGATTCTCGGAAAAGGCTTTCCGAGGCTTCATCGAGACATGTATACAGGGAAGCTCATAAAAGTTTACTTAAACAAATCTTCTTTTTTAAGTGTAAGGTCTGTGCCAAAACATAATAATATTTCGGAACTTGAAGAGAAGGAGTACAGAAAACACACGCAGATAACCAATACATCAAAAAAGCGATATGTTCAGACTCCGAAACAGGGGTACCAGGTTGTCCTACATGAGCATTAATGAAGGCTAGGTAAGTCTTCTTGTCCCAGGTAATCGAAACCTCCTTGATCGAAATTTCTTCTTCGACAACATCAGGGTGAAATCTATCTCTTATGGGGGCTAAACCGGTTATCGCTGCAATGTCCAACAGTGTAGGGCAAACAAAACCACAGGGGAACTCGAAGGCACGAGTCTCTCTATTCCATAAGAAAATGGCAGAAAGGAGCATTTGAGGGTCAAAGAGATGTAGATCAAATTTGGCGAGTTGAATAAACTCGAATATGCCAGCTTCAACCCAAGAAGAGTTCATTGCTTGTTCTACACGAAGTAACCACTGTAGGTGTCTATCTTTAAGAGGGGGAAAAGCCCTAAAAATCTTAGTGGTATCATTGAATAAAGACAGATCTATTTCTGAAGAATGGATGAAAGGTAAGGAAGATGCGTCTTCAGGCAACAGAGTATTCCCAAATTTTTTCTTATTTTGACCCATAAATGGACCTAAAAAAGCATGAGTACTACCATTGGCAAGAGTGAAAGGAAGGAGTACCTGAGACTGAAAGATTTTAAGACTTGCTTCTTTCATGCCTGGGATAGGGACGAAGGTATTGTCCCCGTCTTTGACTTTGCACACCTGAGCATCAGCCATTAATAAAGAACCCGCCTGGGTTGAAGTTGCAGTAGCCATTGTGGTGACGGTGGCAGTGGCCATGGATGTAGCAGTAGCCAAGATTGGAGATGACGCAGAAGCTGCGGTAGGAGAAACGGTGGAGGCCACAGCGGCAGAAGTAGACGCAGCAGAGGAGGCCATAATACTTGAAGAATGTAGGAGAAGTTTGGAAGAAGAACAAGGGCGCCAGAAAAGCCAAGAAACGGAGGAGGAACTGAGCAAGAAAACTTAGGCACGAAGGAAGAAAAGCACAGAATGGTAAAAGTGATTTAACTCTAGGGTAAAAAATAGGGTTTTAACGTGTTGATGGGCTAAGGTGAAACAGTTTTGATAAAATAATTCAAAATTTAAATTGAAATTCGTAATAGCCGCCAAAACGGTCATTATCATAAGACAAATTTATGAGGTCACGTAAGCACGCGTCGCCAGGGTAATCAATGTCATATCATCAAAACGGTCATTTGCATTAAATACGGACCAGAGTAGGTTTTCATCGAAGGGAAATGAATGCTTCACTAGTCGAGAAAACCAAGAAACATCGGAAATAATGCTCGATAGGAATTCAAATCTTTCATCGTAATGGGCTCATCAAGACTGAATTCCTAGGGGGGCATTTGTTAAGGTCACTCGAAACCATGTGACTCGAAAAGGGTCGAAAAACTCATACTAAAACTATACTCTCAAGCACTCTCTGCCTACGCATATGGCTTTCGTGCACGAAATTGTTTTTGGGTATGATTCCTTCTCGGCCCTTTTTCTGTTTTCTTTTTAGGAGTAGTATTAGTGTAGTTTGTTCTTCTTATTTCTTTTGATTACGTAGTTCTAGCATTCTGGCATTGTAATTCCTGTTAATTATGCAAGTGAACCATGATCTGTATTGCAAATGTATCTATCGTTCATGCTGTTTATTTAAGGATTTACTTTCATGGATATCATTACTTGTTAATCATTGATGAATATTTAGAAACAAGTAGCTTTTAAATCTTTCTGCTCCATCTCGTTGTACTTCAAATATCTCAAAACGAAACATACCTAAATTGAAACGTGTGTCGTGCTAGTCCGAATAAAAAGAATCCATAAAACGAGTTTCACCGTAAACAGTTATACAACTTGTTTTTAATGATATAGGTAACTTTTAACCAAACATACAAACAAAAATTATATTGACTTTAAAACCCTAAACCACAAAATTAACTTGTAAAATGAGTATTCTCATATTTATACACTACTTTGATCATATCATTAATGGACATGAGATCTCCAACAAAAATGTTTTATATTTTTAAAACTATATTTGCTTATTTTTATTTAATAATTTATTTATGGAGTGATAGAAAGAATGGTGAGGGAATAAAAGAAGTTATGAATCTTCTTACCGAAGATCTAATGCAATCATTCACTTTATATCATTTTCCAGAGTTGCTAGAATGTCTTTGAGCTGTAAATTTGGTGACATTAGTCTCAAAGGTTAGATGACAACTGTTTTACTTAATGAGCGTGTCTAGTTCAAGACTCGCTGTGTCAAACAATCGATGATTTGTTGAATGTCTACATGTGAATGTGTCAACATGAAAGAGCAGGAACAGCAAGTCGAAAGTATCCCTTGAATCTTAAATTCCCAATGTAACGACAGATTACAAACTTGAACGGTTATGGATCTGATTACTATGACATTGGAAATTGATTCCTTTGTTTGTTTGTTTGTTTTTTTTTTTTATATATTCTAATTCTTATAATTGTTTTTGCTAGTATTACATTTAAAGTCTTTAGATAGATTTCTCATAAACACTTTACAAGAGACATAATTAAGAAAGAAAATTGAAAAAAGTTTTATCATTAAAAGTAACTTATGCATCAAATAAAAATAAAATTTTAAAAAATTAATATAAAAAACTTTTACAAATTAACTAATACATAAATTAGTTTTAACTTATAAAAAAAAAATTATTTCATTTCTTCTTATTTTTTTTCTTCTAGAATTACTTCTTTTAAAAAAATTTACTCGAAGAGCCTTACAGAGTTGTAACCTTATTCCCTTCTTAACAACTTTACTCTTCTTGTTTCTATTTCTAACTGTTTGCTTGGATTTCTTTAAAAGATAATGTACTATATTGCAGCACGAACTGCATACTTAGCCAATCAAGTAGAAACAAGATGAAGAAAGTCTTAAATATTGCTTGAATGCTTGTTGGGCAGGTGTGCTGTGTGCAATCAGGTAATCACACAGTTTATATTTAATGTGCCAAAAAACACCTGGACATCTCAAAATCTCTCTTGGTTAATTCAAGAGAAGATGAAGATAAAAGTCACATACTAAAACGAATGAGAAACAAAAGTGTCAAAACTGTCTCCATGTCTCAGGTTTCTTCAAAATGGTACATAGTGAAATTTACACGACATCCAGCTCCTAAAACTAAAAGAAAAACTAGATCTGTCAGAACACATTTTGCCACTTACTTGGAAACATGTTTTAGAACCAACAATTCATGTCCCAAATGTGAAAATCAAAAAGTTAGAACTAGTAGCATTTACTTGAATGTGAAAAATTACATCGTGATCCATTTTCAAAGTACGCTATGGTTTCCAAAATCATTCAGCTATAGCAAAAACATGACAAAAATATATAACCTCATTGCTTTCTTAAGGATGTCTGAAATCCCTCCATGCAGTAGCAAAGAAGAACTACGAGCGATCATCACAGGGAATTGGCAGCCATTTTCTGATGGATCCTCATTTGTGATGATAGCCAAACCAGAGAAATCACAGTCCCAATCCTTTTGGTTATTTACTTGATAATACATATTGAAAGCATAAGATGCATTCCCTTGGAGATTCAGATTACTACAAGTAGAGCCATAGCCAAGGGAAGTACAATCGGAAAGGCTACAAGCATAGTCAATGCTCTTGGCCAAATCATCCAAGTCAGTAACATCTGGATCCAAAATACACCACCTCTTTTCCAAGTACTTTATACCTTCCACAGGGATAAGACCCTTTTCCTTGTGTTGACCTGTTAAGTCTAATTCATACTTTGGCTTGCCATCAAACTCAAAAATCCCCCAATGCCTCTCAAAGTTCCCTGGAGCAACACTCTTAGTGTTCTCATCAATGAGGCTGAATAGAAACAAGTCAACTGTGCCATTCCTTTTAGGGGTACCCTTTCCACTCAGAGCATGTTTAAGCAAACCCAAGTTGAATCTCCTTGCATTCCTTGCATTAGCATTCTTATCACCATCAGTTGGCCACCCAATTTCTCCAATTATAACCTTCAGGTCAGGATATCCTGCCTTGTCCAAAGACCACAGAAGGGTATCAAGATTTGCACCAAACACATTGGTGTAAAGAGCCTTACCATCCCTAAGAGGCTTGTTATATCCATCAAAGAATGCAAAATCAAAAGGGAAATCTTGGTTGCCATAAAGACTAAGGAAAGGGTAGATGTTGACTGTGAAAGGTGCATTGTTTGCATATAAGAATTGGATTATTTCAATAGTGAGATCTCGCCATTCAGGCCTGAAGTCACCAGCTGATGGCACCGGATTTGAATCAGGTGAATAGTAAATGTCAGCATTGAATGGAACAGTGACTTTGACCTTTGAACCCAAACCCGCATTATCAAGTGATCTCTGTATATTCTTAAGGGCTGGCAGAGTTTTCTTCGCATAGGTGCCATTATACGCTTTAAGGAAAGGCTCATTACCAACGGCAACATACCTGCAAAGTTAGCATATATGACAAGCATATAGCAGAGTGAGGAACAGTTAAAGTATGACTTTAAACATATAACATTAGTTATTACAGTACATATGACCAACTAGAACATAAAAGGACAACTAGAATAAAGGATGTTATTCTAACTACTTAATTGTACCACCAAAATCAGCCAGACGTATATTCAGTTGACACATTTTACTGAATATGCCTTAAAAGAAGCACGCTATCAAGTTTCAAACTCCTCTGGCTTCCAGAAAGTTGAGAATAAAACTAAAAACAGGAGTGGTAGCAGCGTACTATCTGACAATGAGAAATCATTAAACAGTCTTATACTATTATATATCCATAGTGAAATCAAACTAAACGTAATTAGTTTATGAAAAAAATTAATACTAATCAATTATTTGTCACGTGAAAAATGGTTGGACTATGTAATAATTTCTTTTCCTTATTATATTGGTCAAAATTTATTAAGAATAGAAAATTAAAAAAGTAAAATCTACAAATATTAGTGATTTTTAATAAATTTCAATTAAGAAGGAAAATATATTTAAAAAAGCGTGTCAGATAATACATAGTATTTTCAAGTGGAAAAAAAAAGAACAAAATTTAGATGTAGTTTCATGAGTACTTTTAATATTATTTTCTTATCAAAATCAAAAGTTTTATTTTGATAATCCACATAAAAAAAATTGCCCACAGATTAATTCCTGTAGTAAAACTTCAATTTTGACACAAAAGAATATCAAAATTACCTAAAAAATTAAAGTAACGTTATACATACAACAAAAAATTATACAACTTTTATAACATTAATTTTGTGTTTATCTTTCTCCATCATTAATAATGTCTCTCTCCATAATACATAAAATGCCAGAGAGAAAAAACACAAAAGGGATAACTACAATTACGCAAGAAATTATATCCAAGTTTAGTTTTGTTTGAAACAAATAAATTGACGCAATAATTGCAACAAAGTGATACCGCGAAGAATTTGATGAGCAAGAAGAGTGAAAGAGTAGCAGCATCTAGGAAAGAGTAAAAGAACGTGAAGCAAGCAATAGTAGTAGTAGTGCACTTAACTTGATTTTGACACCACCGGTGAACAAGTAACTGGTGACATTATCACGCACCCAAGAATCCGCAGCTTTGGGACTGTTACTTATCTTGTGGAGCATGTTGTTGGGTATTGCCACCATCACTTCGATATCACTCCCCATGAGCGCCGCCATAATCAACTCATCCGCGTCAAACAGCTTCAATTTGGTGAACCCATTTTCCCTCAGCATCTTCACCACCTTCTCCGCTGGAAGCTGGTGCGTCGCCATGGTTCCCCAGTTCACGCCTACCCAAGCAGAACCGCGCGAACCCACACTTAGCAGCACGAGAAGGAACGTTAACGCCGCTAGATGCACGCAATTTGGACCCATTTTTCGTGGGATTTCAAACTCTAGAGAAGATTCCAGAACGAGATGGGAACTCGGAATGTCTCATTCTTGGGAGCTGAACTGAATTTATATGGCTATCGCTTTCTGTGGTGCGTGCATTTCAGTGTCTTAGCACACAAGGAAAGGGTAAACTAATTGCTCCGGACGTTAAGGAACGTACTCTCTCGGAAGAATGTTGTTGGTTCGACTCTGCTTTATTTGAAAACTTTATTGCAAGTATTTTTATGTAGTCTTGAGGTTTGTTCTTTAATAGAAAAAGAAAAGTATATTTTTTCTCAAATTTTTTTTTTTTTTTTTTTGCAAAAGAGAAACTATTAATGATAAATAAATATGTGAAAAGATTCTAAAATAAATACTTATTTATAAAGTTGAAGATTAAAGAAAAATTAGGAAGATAAATATCAAAGTGACTGATTATTTAATATCAAAGGCTGACTTGAAAGAGAATTAGAAGTTTGTTACTTCCTTAAGTTAGTCTTTTATTTGATAAGTTCTTCATTTAGTCTTTATATAGTTATATAATATATAATGTTAGCATTATTGTTGAGCCATTATAATAAATAGTACTCTCCCTCCGTTCTTTTTTAATTTTTCAGATTTTTAGTTGTATTATTTTTAAATTTTAAGATAATATTAATTATTATATTATCAATTATATTTTTATATTTCATTTAATTTTGAATTAATTTATACATATGTATTTATTTTGATGTATGGTCACTTTTGAGTGTTATAGAAAGTGAGAATTACAAAATTCTCTCTTCAAAAGTATTTTCTCTCATTGGAGTTCTTAATGTTTAAGAACTTTCATTAAGGAATTTCTTCTTATGTTAAGTTCCTCAAATCTTGCTTATCCTTCAACTTGGGAGGGAGCCTGCCTATCATTTCTACCCCTTGTCAATCTTTGCTTGTTTTTGTTGTCATTTGGATCCATTGATGAAGATTGGAGGAGCTATGAGTTACTATGGAGGAAACACCAAGAGTTCTCCCTAGGAATTCCATCATAACTTATTTAATGTTCACAAGGGGTTCTTCTTTTATAATCACTACAAAAAAATGCGTGATTTGTGGCGGTTATTTTGGAAGCATCAAAATGGTGTAGTCACTTAAGAAAAATCAAACCTGGGAGTTAGTGTTGAGCTTAGCTTGAAGCCTAAAGGAGTTTTGATGATCACAACATAAGTGTACAATAACAACTTACAAATTGGAAGCACAAGCACAACAAAAACAAAGTCAAAGAAAAGTCAAGAAAATGCTATGTGATAGTGCTATGTAATAGAGTTTAGAAAATAAAGTGTTTTGAATGAGTTTTTATGTTGTGTGTGCTTAGTATGCTTTGTGCATCAGCAAATCTATATCTGAGCTAAGTAGAGAGTATATGATGATGAGTGAAAAGGTTGGAAAGTTATTTTGAGACTTAAAAACGAAGTTTTGAAAACTAACTCAAAATAATCGATTATCGTTAAATATAATCGATTATTCCAGCAACAGGCAAAATGGGATGCCTTGCTGCAATAATCGATTATTTGCCAAAATAATCGATTATCCCAGAAATAACTCTCTGGAATAATCGATTATCCAGTGAAATAATC